CTACAGATCTGATTTGAGGTTGAGTCTTCTGGTTTTCTTTTTTGTTTTGTTTATATTTTGGTTTGGTTTTGACTTTGGAATCCATTAGTGCTTGGTACAACTTACTCACTTTGTGATTGTAATCTATGATATATCATCGGCATACTCTACATTCGTTTGGCCTCTGCTGGCAGTACGTGCACAAGCACTTGTTGTATAGCTAGGTATTCTTCATAGATTTACTTATGTGTTTATTTGTCGTTCATCTTTACTTTGATGGTATAAGTTTATTTTGGATGAATTCCACTCTCTGTAAGTGTCGTTTGGCTACTTTAATGGAAATTTCTCTTCTGTTGAAAAAAAAAAAAAAAGGCTTTGAGCAAATGTACAATTTCAAGAGAAAATTAGTGAAAAGTCTACTCTAACAATTGTCTAAGGCGTTAGGTCCATTGATTTTTTTTTTTTTTGTGATATGTCCACACTTTGTGAGATAATTTGGTGAGAAATTCTAGAGAACATTTTGTTTTCAATTTTACCTCTTGACTTTTTTTTATCTATTTGACTTTTAGTTGGCTATCTGTTCAAATTTATATCTATATGTTGAAATTTTTTGCTTATCTATTCAATTTTTTTTTTCTATCTTTTTAATTTTTTTCTGCATAAATTTTCTATCTGTTCAAATTTTTTTATATAAATTTTCTATATGTCCAAATTTTACCTATTCATTTTTTTTTATCTATTCAATATTTTTATCCGTACAAATTTTCAAATATTACACTCAAACCCTATCTGTTCAAATTTTGCAATGAACAAGCCTTCCTTCACCTTACTTCTCAATTAACCAGTGTTTCTTGAAATCTAATATCACTACACAGTTTGGTCAAGAATTCTCTTTATACCAGAATACTCAATACTGTTCATCTGGTTCAGCTACCAATTATTCTGTAGACAACTCAACCATATATAGCCATGAATATATATATATACACATACTGAAACATACATCTCGATCAGGGCTGGCCTTGGGGCCTCTCAAAATTGGTTCAAAGACGAGTCCCTTCCTATTATAATTTAGTATAATATATTAGGTATGTTTTAAGTTTAAAAAAATAAAAAAAATGCTTAAATTAACTTAAAATAAATTGACCCATTAAAAAATTAAAAGGTCATTAAAAAAAAATAACATTGTTATTCATTGAAAATAGACCCAAAAAAGGAGTGTCTCTTATTATAGTTTAGTCTAATATATTAAGTATATTTTAAGTCTAAAAAAATTAAAGAAAGCCTAAATTAACTTAAAATAAATTAATCCATTAAAAAATTAAAAGGCTCATTTAAAATAATTAGTATTGTTATTCATTGAAAATGATTTTGTAAAAAAATTAGATTATGTAAGTATGATTGATTTATTTACTTCTAAAAATATAAGAAGAGTGAGGATCAAGCGATACTTTTTAATTATTGTAATATAATGTTAAGTATTTTTTGTAATTTTGACACAAATCTTTTGTTCTTTACTTTCAATTTTTTTTTTTATTCAATGAAAAAAAAATGTGAAGTGATCAGAAATTTATTAGTTGATTATTGACTTTGAGCCGTGGAAATTTCTGGGCCGGGCCTGGTCTCGATCAAGCATTTTAGAACTGTAACCGTTGCCTGAACCGATAATGTGATGTCGACGAAGATGCACATGAGCGAGGCACAATCCGAGTGCTCAAGAATGATGAAGACGATGACGAGTGATCTGGAACATTTTTTTGGCGTCGGAGGTCTGCAGAATCTCGGCGAACACTTTGCAGCCATGAGATGACATCGTAGCTGTCAGATTCACTTGACTCGGACCAGGAGTCGGAGCTTCGGCTTGAGCCGATAGCAAGATCTTGCTGATCTGAATGACGGATATGTTATACGAAACCTCATCCAACGATTTGACGAAGATAGCGTCGACGTTGCCGCCATTATCCTTGGCTCTGAAACCGACCTTACCGCTTCTGAGATCTGTGATGTTGACAAATCCAGAAGAACTGGAGGCCATGCCGGTGTCTTGGAACATAGTGGCGGCTAGAGCGATGTCGTTGATGATCTGGCGGAGTAATCGAAGGAGTCTCAGCAGCCTTTGGCGGCGATGCCATTGAAAATTTCGTCGGCAAAGCTGCCGGAGCCGGAGCGATGGTAGCTCCAGCCACAGATAGACTGTGACGGAGGAGGTGGCGGAGCGGAGGGTGAGGGGAAGTGGTGGAGAGAGAGGGAGAGAGGAATAGATAGAGAGAATAGAGCTGTTCAAAAATCTGTTCAAACCGGTAATTCGGATCGAATTAGATCGAAATATACGGTTTACTTCGGTTCTATTAGGAATTGGTTCAAGTTTGGTTTCGGTTTAATAAATATAAGAATCGTAAAAATGATTTAGTTAATGGATTTTATGAAAAAATCACAGTTCAAACCGAACCGAATTTTAAAAGATATATATGATATCAAGTTTTATTTTTATTAATTGATTTTTTATAATTTTAATGATATTAAGATTATATAGATATGTAATATTAAGTAATACTTTACTATTATTAGTTTTTATCATGAGTTAGATATAATTTTTACTAATATTAATAATTTATTCTTATAAATAGAAAATTTTGGAATCGTGAACCAAACTGAAATCGAACCGTTATTTCGATTTGGTTCTGACCTGATTTTACAAGTGTAATGATCTGATCTGGTTCTCAAAATCATAAAACCATTAAGATCGATTCGATTCTTAAATTTTCTCAGAATCGAACTAATTCGGACAATATACACCGCTAGAGAGGGAGGTCTTACGAGAGGAGAAAGAGAGAGAGGGTGAGATAAAATCAATGCATGGGCGGAGGGAAAAATATAGAGTAGTGATTTGGTCATTTTGTATGAATTTGTGGATATTATTGTTTAGCGCGTGGATCTATAGGTAATAAAATTTTAATTTTGGATTTTTAGCTTGAGTGCCTTAATTGTAAATTGTGAAATTTTGATTTGAAATAACTTAAAATGTGAAAATTTTCAAATATTTGAAAATAAATACAAAAATCTCTTAATAAATTTTAGATAAATATGTAATTTCAAACTGTGAAATTTGGAATGGTACGAAAAACCTAAAAAAAAATGTGTTGTTTTAAATTGTGAGATTTTAATTGGAATGATTTAAAATCTGACATTTTTAACATTCCAAAAATAGTACAAAGATTTTTTTAGTAAGCTTTAGACAAATATGTAATTTCAAACAGTAGAGTTTTGATTTACAATAATTTAAAATGTAGAATTTTTTCAAACATTCTAAAAAGAGTTTAAAAATCCCTTAGTAACATTTAGACAAATATCTAATTTCAAATTGTAAAAATTTAGGTCATTTATGGGTATTAACTAGCATCCACAAGTGTAAATTGTAGGATTATACTGTCATTAACACACAAATAAGACTGTTGGGTTGTTTAGATTATTTAGAAGACTTATTAATTAGTAAGGTAGGGAAATGGGATTTATTGGTACTTTCGTCTTATTTCAATGCGAACAATGCTATGTTTGTTACCTTTTTATATCATTTTTAGTATACAATATGCTCTATCATCATATTATTAGTGTAATGGATTTCACCACATATATTTATCTCTAATAAAGTATTGACGCATGAAGTGACACGTTAAAAATAATATAGGATAAATTATACTGACATTTCTTGAGATTTGATTCAATTACATTTCATTCTTTGAAGTTTTGAAAATTACATTCACACCCCCGTGGTTAACAGTTTCATTTCACAAAGGCAATAATTTTTAATAAAAAAATAGAAAAAATTATATTAAAAAAAATAAAGCAAATGAAAGGACAAAAAAAATAGAAGAAGTAAAGCAAATCAAGAAAAGAGTAAGTGGATGAGTTTAATATTTTCATTCTGTCTAAATGATTAGAATGACAAGGGACTAATGTAATTTTTTAAACGTCAAAAATAATATATATTAAACTTAAATATTAAGAGAGATAAGTGTAATTTACCCAATAACATAAAAAGATGGGAGGTATAATATTATCCTTTTAGTACCTCATCCAGGTCAATAAATTAAAAAGTACGCAAATTTTTGATACGGAAAGTCTATTTAATCAGCTTGACTTTGCCCATGTTTGGGAAGTTGGGTTTGTGAATTTTTTGGTTAAAATAGTTAGGAAAAATAAAATAGAATTTTTAATTTAATAAGATAAAATATTACATCTAACTTATAATTATTATATTATTTCTCTCATAAAAAAGTTAAAAAAGTCAAAAGTCCTTTCCAAACTAGTCTTTTTAGCCCCAGACTAAAATAGTCAAAAAAAAAATTAAAAAGTCAAAAAGTCAATCCATGTTCCAAACGAAGCCAAGAAAACCAAATAAAAAATATGGTTGCATTTGGTGTAGCTTTGTAATCATAATTTCATCCCTCTGTTCGCATGCACTGTTTGGATAGAGTTTTGAAAATGTGATTCTACCATACATTTCAAAATATATTTATTTTTCACGTTTGGCTACTCTCTCTCTTTCGTCTTCTCCATTTTGAAAATTAGAAGAGTTTTTGAATTTTGAATTTATCCGATCATCCTCCCGAACGTCCATTGGACGTCCGGCCGGTTTACCTTAACAGGTTTTTTTTTTTTAAAAAAAAAAAATTAAGAGTACTGCTAAGTATACATTACAATTTTATTTTTAGTTTTGCTAGAAATGCAAATTAAACACAGAATAAAATAGAGAATACACATAAATAAATAACATTTTATAGAGTTTATTAGTGGTATCCAATTTAAAAAACTCTGGTCTACCCAAATACATTTATGTTTGATTCTATAATCGATTTTTGTATTCCTCCATTTATTCTTTTTATCTTTCTTTTGTTTTGGATAGAATATGGTTGAAGTATTGACACATGCAAAAAATGATAGAATCTTTTTCGTCACTAAAGTAAAAAAAAATAAAAATAAAAATAAATTAATTAAAGCCTATATAAATGAGCTTTGGAGAAGGACCAGGAGTAAGATATAGCAAGAGTCTCGTTATCTGCAGTGAGACTTTGAGAATATGGAGTTCAAAAAAAGCTTGAACTTGGAGCTCCTAGTGGCTTTGCTCTTGAATGTGTGTGTTTTTTGTATCTCCGCCAAGCCCATCCCTACCATTAATTGGGTTGTAAGTATTCCTCTACTCATTTCACCATATCTACTTTTTGTGAGCTTCTTAGCATCCTCCAGATTTCTGGGTTGTTGTTGATCTAGTCACCAATCACTGTGCACCACATCACCATACCAAGGTCTCAATGTTCACTTCAATAACTATTCTGACAGCCAGTACCTTCTGTCCTCCAATTCTTCAAATTTCTCTGTTTCTATATTCCGATGCATTTTTTTACTGCTGGCGTGTGTCCTGAGGTTGCATTGGGAGTCACAGACGGCGAAGAAATATCAGGATGATGGATCTGTGCCAAACTTTGTCCAGAATTTTAAATAGGAAAATGTTAGGAATCTTAAATATTTTATCAATATTTTTATTAATGTTGTATTTGATTAGGAAATTTAGAGAATGATTTGGAAAGGAAAATGAGAAAATGTGTATGAAACTATGTGAAATTTAAGTATATTTTATTCATATTTCAAGTATTTTTTCTATCTCTATTTCTAAATCCCTCATCAAATCTCCCAACTAAACACAGCATAAATGTTTTATTAAAGTGTGAGATTTACACTATGTAAATTCCATGTACATCTCACATTCATTTAAGACATGTAATAAAAATATTAACAAAAAGAAAAATGTTTGAGGGCCCGAAATCAGTGGCTCGAATTCGGGTCGAAATACAAAACGACGTCGTTTTGGGTTTCAATTTTTTTTTCTTCATCTTTTTTTACATTTTCTTTATTTTCTTCTTCTTCTTCTTCTTCGTTTTGAACACAGGAGAAGAGAAACAGTGGCGAGAGAGAGAAATAGAGGCGAGAGGCAAGAGAGAGTCGTCGCAGCTCATCGCAGCTCGTCGGCCGATCGTCGCATCGTAGCCCCGCCTCTGTCTCTACTTCCGCCTCTGCCTCCAGCCCGATTTTGATGGCTCCTCCCGTTCTGCTTCTCCTTCTTCTTCATCTTCCTCCTTCTCTTCTTCTTCTTCTTCCTTCTTCCTTCTCAAATTCGAACCGGGGCTTTCAGGCTCTGTAACAGGGCTGTAAAAAAAAATTTTAAATTTCTTACATTACTCTTTTAAATATCAACTGATAAAACACCTTATTACATCGGCCAATACACCCTCATCGCAAGTAGAGTTAGTGAGCAGTGTAACAGGTGACTGTATCACGCGGTTCAGAGGCACTTTTGTCAGCTGCCCCGACATCTGTATATACACATATTAATATATATTTGAAATTTTATACGTTATTTCTATCGGCAAAACTTCTTTTTTTCTCGTCAAAAATATGTATTATCATTTTGTTATTTAAAATCATGGCTATATTTTAATATTTTTTGTTAAAAGATTATTTAAAATAATTTAAATAAATATAATTTTTAATTTTTTATAAAATGATATGTAAAAAAATAAAAATAGGATATATAAAAAAAATAAAATAATAAAAAAATATGCTACGGTAGGTCATGCCAAAAAACTCTTAATTATCAACAATGTTATGGACCATTTGCAACTCAGTACCGGATTTTGTTTTCTATATCCAACAAATTAGAGCCCCATCAAAAGATATTTAATGATTTTCATGAGTTGTAAAGTTAATAGGGGTCACTAAAAAAAAAGGGGGGAAATTACATATACCCCTCGAGTTTTAGTAAAATTACAGATACTCTCCTGAGATTTGAGAAATTACAGATACCTTTCTGAAGGTTATATTTGCATAATAAATTAGAGGGCAAATTGTTATGAAAATATAAACTTCAGGGAGCAATTTGTTATGAAAATATAAACCTCAAGGGGGTATCTGTGATTTTCGAAACCTCAGGAGTATCTGTAATTTAGCTAAACCTCGATGGAGGTATATGTAATTTGCCAAAAAAAAATACATTTTTTTACATATATATACTTATTTAGATCACATCAATTAATATCTATTAACATCTCCTCTTTATTTTTTTACTAATTTTCTTTACTTTTTTATATATATAATTTCTCATAAAAAAATCAAAAAATACGCTTAGAACATTTTGAACCACCCCTTACTCTTTGGGTGGTGGCAGGTGCATTTGGTTTTGAATAATGCTTGGGATCCTCTTTTGGGGGTCACCCCCTCACCCCCTTTGTCACGTGGCGGGTAGTGATTGGAGGAGCAGGAAAAAAAAGAAAAAGAAAAAGAAAATGTAACCAATGAGAGAGAGGGGGTCAAAAGGGATGGAAAAAAGGAGGATGAATCATTATTGTTTTGTTTTTGTCTGCTGCTTCTTGACTTCTCCTCCGTTTTTTTTTTTTTTTTTTTAATATTTTGGTTGGATCCTCTCCAACCAGTTGCCGTATAAGAATATGATTGCACTCATATTTTGGTGTAAATTTAATTGGAATCGTTTTGTACAGCTATGGTACTATTTGCGCCCACCTCCCTTATCTTTATTGATGTAATCCTTCTTTGTTTGCTGGCTTATATAGACAAAGAGTTCCCTTATTTTGTTGATAAAAAAAAGAAAAAGAAAAACACTTTGCTTTGAGTTTTTTGGATTAAGGCCTTGTTTGACATATATTAAAAAAGTCAAAAAGTTATTATTCTATTTAAATCATATCATTTTATTTAAGTCACATCACCTTTCTATTATATCACTTCAAACCCAACCCATACCCAATTCATATTTCATAAAAAGTCAAAAAGTGCACTTATTTAGAACATCTCAAACCAAATTTTTAAAAAATTGAGTTTTCTGATTTTGTATTTTTTTATTTTTAGTAAATATTTTTGAAATTTTAAATAATTTTTTTATTTTTTAAGATGCATCTTACTTATATGTATATAAAAAGTAAAAAATTTGTAATAAAATATTTTAAAAAATTAATAAATACAAAAAAAAAATACTGAATTTTCATATATTTTTTAATATTTTTAGTATTTAGTGAATTTTTAAAAGGTTTTTTTCATAAATTTTTTTACTTTTTAGGTATATTTATGTTAGGTATGTCTAAAAATTTTAAAAATTACTAAAATATTAAAAAAATCCAACAAAAATAAAAAAAATACAAAAAATAAAAAAGTAAAATTTTCTGGAAAGTGTTGTTGAAAAACCTTAACCAAGCAAAGTGATGTTATGGACCACAAATTTTTTTTTTTTTTTGGTTGTGAAAATCATCTTGAAACCTTTTCCAGTCAAGCAGCCGTCAATCCTCAGCTTTTGTGGTTGTCTGACAATATCATTTTCAAATATTTCATAAGAGACATCAAAAGTAAAAAGAGAAATGATAATTTTTTATGTTTGTTGATCTTACATATTTATGGTATTGTTGGAATGTTGATTGATCTTTAATTTAATTTTTTCTTTTTTAACTTATCTAATGTTTTGCTTTTGTTGTGAAGCTGACGGAAACTAAATACACACGGTTGTGTAGCACAAAGAAGATATTGACAGTAAATGGACTATTTCCAGGGCCAACTTTGCGTGTCCACAAAGGTGATAGAATTATAGTGAATGTGAAGAACCAAGGCAAGTATAATGTCACCATTCACTGGTATGCCTCTCTCTCTCTCTCTCTCTCTCTCTCTCTCTCTCTCTCTCTCTCTCTCACACACACACACATTAGCACCAAGAAAAATGAAGGGAAGAGGCACACACACAACAATACAACCCACCGACACAGTTTGATTCTAAAGCCAAGTGTAGATATTAGTGCAATGGTGACCATCTGGTCGGAAAATTATTAAGTAGTTTCAAAATATTATGTAATATTAAATTATGTGATATTTTTAATAAATAAAAAATGATAAAAATATAAAAGGAGAGACTTCTGCCAATAATAGCAAGCTTCCGTTTGGGAAGTGGGTTGACTTTTTGGCTTTTTGACTTTTTTGGCTATTTTAGCCTGGGCTAAAAAACTTGGTTTGGGAAGGATTTTTTGACTTTTTGACTTTTTTGACTTTTTTTGTGAGAGATTTTTGACTTTTTGACTTTTTTGACTTTTTTTGTGAGAGAATAGTGTAATGATTATGGGTTGGATGTGATGTTTTGTTTTTTGTGACTAAAATAGCCTATTTTGTCTTTTGTGACTAAAATAGCCAAAAAAACCTGAAGAAACCCTTCCCAAACGGACCCCAAGTAAGTTTCGAGATGGAGACTTTGTCCGATGTATGTTTGTGAGGGAGCTGGCAAACATTGTTTGCTTGTAAAAATTTTTATCCGTTTTCATAAGAATATTATTTACTTAGAAAAAAAATATTTAAAATTTAATTTAGATATTTTAAATTTGAGACACTTGATTTTCGTGTGTGGACGTAATAGCATTGTCTCACGTTCTTGTTTGTCTTTACTCCTACGAAACTAAAATCTAACTTTGATGCTGAACTTTGTTTGTCTTTACTTTCCTATGAATTAACCAAAAAAAAAAAAATTGTAAAAACAGTTAGGCTGAATTAATGAAATATTGTACGAATCTTGAATTTGAGCAAGCTGTTCTTTCAATGGGAAAAGGACTTTCCAGAAAAAAAAACAAATAATAATAATAAGGATAATTTACAAATACATCCTTAAGGTTTACTTAAATTACAAATTATCTCTTAATTTTAGAAATGTGAATATTTTTAAAATTTTAAATATTTTTTTTATTTTTTAAGATGCACCTTACTTATATGTATATAAAAAGTAAAAAATTTGTAATAAAATATTTTAAAAAATTAATAAATACAAAAAAAAGTACTGAATTTTCATATTTTTTTAAATATTTTTAGTATTTAGTGAATTTTTACAAGGTTTTTTTCATAAATTTTTTTACTTTTTAGGTATATTTATGTTAGGTATGTCTAAAATTTTTTAAAATTACTTAAAATATTAAAAAAATTCAACAAAAATAAAAAAAATACGAAAAATAAAAAAGTAAAATTTTCTGAAAAGTGTTGTTGAAAAACCTTAACCAAGCAAAGTGATGTTATGGACCACAAATTTTTTTTTTTTTTTGGTTGTGAAAATCATCTTGAAACCTTTTCCAGTCAAGCAGCCGTCAATCCTCAGCTTTTGTGGTTGTCTGACAATATCATTTTCAAATATTTCATAAGAGACATCAAAAGTAAAAAGAGAAATGATAATTTTGTATATGTTTGTTGATCTTACATATTTATGGTATTGTTGGAATGTTGATTGATCTTTAATTTAATTTTTTCTTTTTTAACTTATCTAATGTTTTGCTTTTGTTGTGAAGCTGACGGAAACTAAATACACACGGTTGTGTAGCACAAAGAAGATATTGACAGTAAATGGACTATTTCCAGGGCCAACTTTGCGTGTCCACAAAGGTGATAGAATTATAGTGAATGTGAAGAACCAAGGCAAGTATAATGTCACCATTCACTGGTATGCCTCTCTCTCTCTCTCTCCCTCACACACACACATTAGCACCAAGAAAAATGAAGGGAAGAGGCACACACACAACAATACAACCCACCGACACAGTTTGATTCTAAAACCAAGTGTAGATATTAGTGCAATGGTGACCATCTGGTCGGAAAATTATTAAGTAGTTTCAAAATATTATGTAATATTAAATTATGTGATATTTTTAATAAATAAAAAATGATAAAAATATAAAAGGTGAGACTTCTGCCAATAATAGCAAGTAAGTTTCGAGATGGAGACTTTGTCCGATGTATGTTTGTGAGGGAGCTGGCAAACATTGTTTGCTTGTAAAAATTTTTATCCGTTTTAATAAGAATATTATTTACTTAGAAAAAAATATTTAAAATTTAATTTAGATATTTTAAATTTGAGACACTAAGGGTATGTTTGGTTTGATTTTGGGAGAGTAGTTTTTGAGATAAAAAGTACGAAAACTTGTTTGGTTTGTATTTTTTTAGAAATGATTTTAGAAAATTGTTTTGGAGAGAGAGTTTTAAAAAAAAGTGATTGATTTGATGTGTAGGAGAGAGAAAGTGATTTTGGAAGAAGTAAACCAAACAAAATTTTCAAATTTTTTTTGAAAAAAATTTGTTTGGTTTGATTACTTTTGAAAATTTGTTTGTAGAGAATTTTTCCCAAATTTTTTTCCCAAAATCAAACCAAACAAGCCCTTGATTTTCGTGTGTGGACGTAACAGCATTGTCTCACGTTCTTGTTTGTCTTTACTCCTACGAAACTAAAAAATCTAACTTTGATGCTGACCTTTGTTTGTCTTTACTTTCCTATGAATTTACCAAAAAAAAAAAAATTGTAAAAACAGTTAGGCTGAATTAATGAAATATTGTACGAATCTTGAATTTGAGCAAGCTGTTCTCCCAATGGGAAAAGGACTTTCCAGAAAAAAAACAAATAATAATAATAAGGATAATTTACAAATACATCCTTAAGGTTTACTTAAATTACAAATTATCTCTTAATTTTAGAAATTATATATTGTCTTTTAAGATTTCTAATTTCATAATAAATAGGTCATTTTATTAATAAATTATCAAGTTAATTAACAATTTTTAATAATGTTAAACTTTTATTTCAATTAATAATTCAGATAATTTTATTATTGTATAGGTTAACAGTTAGAAATTTTATTTTTTCATTTAATTTTGTTAAATAAAAAATTCTGATAGTGAGATATTTATAATTTTTCAAATTATATGAGATAATTCGTATTTTAAACAATTTCAAGGATGTATTTATAATTTACCCTAATAATAACAATTAATAAAGGACTTTTGGCAGCTTGCTTGGGTTTATATGACTCTTAAAACAAGGATTATTGATTTTGATAGAAATAAAGAGATATTCTTTTGTACTTTCTTATATGCTATAGGGTAATGCTGTACACTGGGGTGTGTATTAAGAGGTTATTTGGGATATCTTAAGCGTATTTTTTTGTCTTTTTAGATTAAAAAATTGATGAAAAAAAGATAAATATTCGGGTTAACTTTTTAATTTTTTATGAAAAAATATGTATTAAAAAATTATATAAATAAGTTTGTAGGAGAAGTAAGTGGAGTAGGCGTACAGGTTGAGTAGGGTAGTGGGTTGGTTAGCAGATGGGAAATGATTGCCTCATTTTCGGGCTCGAATGAGCAATATATAATATTAATCGTATTCAAACTAATTTCCCTCAAACACATGCGTAATTAATATTTTTACAAATAATATTAATATAAAATATATATATATAAAAATATATGTTTGATGAATATATATATTAAATTATAAAAATATTTTTAATAAATATATTAAATTATAAAAATATTTATAAAATAATTATGATATCACGGTTCGATTCTAGTTCAACTCGACGGTTGAACCAGTTACCTGTCCACTCAATCTCTTTTCCAGTTCACTCACCGATTTGATTTTTAAAATATTAGTATATAATATTCGAGATGAGAAAATAAATGCTATCATAATGAGACAACGTGAGGAAAACAAAAATCTTATAAAATTAAGATTTTGCTCAAAATAATGTTATATACAAATAAATTTTTTATGAGATTTTTTTATTATAACGGGTTATTTTGAAAAGTTAATTAAAATCTAACTTTTTTTTTATATTTTGTGGCTTCTTTTGAAAAAATGTATAAAAAAGTAAAGAGATGATGTGACTCAGAATAAGTTAAAAGTTAATTTTTTTTACTTTTAAACAAGTTCCTAAATTAATATATAAAAGTATTCAGGTCTATATTAATAAATAAATTGTGTCTAGAGGAAGAAAATTGATTTTTTATTTATTTATTAATGTATATTATTTCTTGTGGACAAGAAAAGGCAAGGGGAAATTACCAATTAGTGCTAATCTTTAAAAATTATTACATATTAATGAAAAAATTTATAATTTTAATTATTAATATTTATAACGTCTATCTCTTTTTGATAATTTTTTTTCTTAATCCCCACCAGCAAATTATTTCCCCAAATGATAAAATAGTAAAGAAGGCGAAATATTTCATATCAATTTCAAAATTATTTTTAACTTTTTCACATATTTTCAAAATTTCAAAAGAAAATATCTAATTAAATATATGATATGAATGATAGGCATGGAGTAGAGCAACCAAGAAATCCGTGGTCAGATGGACCAGAATATATCGCACAGTGTCCTATCAAACCAGGAGCAAATTTCAGTTATGATATCATATTCTCAGAGGAGGAAGGAACCTTATGGTGGCATGCTCACAGTGATTGGAGTCGAGCCACAGTGCATGGTCCGATCATCGTCTACCCTAAAGCTGGAACCACTTACCCATTTCCCAAGCCCGATGCAGAGTTTCCCATTGTTTTGGGTACGATTTAAGTTTGAGCTGTCCATAAAGTTTAGTAATTCTTGTTAACGACTTGTTTGGGAATAAGAATTTTAACTAAAATAATTAATAAAAATAAAAAAGTTAAAATAATTAATAAAATAAAGTGTTATATTATACACATCAATCATTTTTTTTGGCCACAATTATTTATTCAATTATAAAAAAAATTCACAAATTATTCTAAACATAATTTTTTTTTAATCTCGTAAAATAATTAAAAATTAAACTAAAATATTTTTTTTTCCCGCTCCCTTTCCTGTCATCCCCAACTCTTGCCTTTGTCATTGACGACTCCCTCTAACCTGACAAGCCCTCCCACCTTTGCCCTTTGACAACCTGGTGTCTCCCCCTGATACACTCTTGCTTATTTTCAAAATAAGTTTTTGAAAATGTGTGTACTAAATATATTTTTATTTTCATTTTTATTAAATTTAATTTTTTTATTGAAAAGAAAATAATAAATTAGAAACAAGGCTTACCATGTTATCATCATGCTTATCAAAGGCCTGTTTTGTTGTGTGAATTGCCTTATTTTTTTATTTTAATCGACAAAAGACAGTTTTATTGATTACTTCGTAGAACAAAGATACAATCAAGAGGGGAAGCAAAGAGCAACAGAGCTCTCAAACTAAACCCACCCAGTTGGTAACTTCGTGTGAATTGCTTATTTGTGATTTACTAAATTCAAAACATAAAAATTAAAAGTAAATTAATTCTAATTTGTTAAGTTGTCCACCAAAACTAGATGTTAAATTTTTAAATTTTGCATTAGATAATTCTACTTTTCAAAAAGAAATGAAAAAAAGCTGATTTTTGTGTAAAAGTAAATTTGACAGATTTTTGAGTCGTTTCAATTTTACATTTAATTATTTCTATAAAAAGTTTAATCTAATTGACCCACTCTTACACATTTTAGGGTCAAGGAAAGGTGCCTATTGGTTGTTCTGAATTTAGAGCAATATATGTTGTTTTTGTTTTTGTTTTTCCTTTATAAGGATGTAGCACATAATTGTGTGAATGATTTGCTCCTCTCTTTCTGCACTTGTAGCATCATGGTTTAAGGGAGATGTGATGGAAATAATTCAAGAAGCACTTATAAGTGGAGATGAACCCAACAAGTCGGATGCTTTGACTATCAATGGTCAGCCAGGTGATCTGTACAATTGTTCTAAGCGAGGTATGGGTGCAATTTAATTTTACATAAACTTGTAGAGTGACCAAATTTGAGAATTGCATTTGTGTAAACATTTTATTTGGCGTCTTAATAACACTAACTATCCTGTATAACACATTTGTTTAGTGTCATGTAAAATGTTACATTAGACGATATCCAAACATGATTTCCGAGCATTACTAAAACAAAAAATAATTCTAGGTACCCAATATTAGTATCCAAAATTTTATCTAGAAAAACAATAATGAACATCACATTTAAAATGAATATGTACCACAAGTTTGGCATACCTAGAAAGGGGGCCACCCTAAAAATAAATATAGTATACACCTTTTATTTTCATGATAATATTTGAGGTACTGTTTTAGGCATTGTTCTACCTTAAATTACTACAAACACCAAAAAATTTAATTTCATGAACGCTTCTAGGTTTGATGAATATATATATATATATATGGGTAACAAGGTTTATATATTTACAGGGACATTCAAAATATTGTTTGATTATGGCAAGACCTATCTTCTTCGGGTCATCAATTCAATTATGAACGAAGAAATGTTCTTCATGGTAGCTGGTCATAAACTCACAGTTGTGGGAATGGATGGAGCTTACATCAAACCCTTAAACACCAGCTATATCTTGATAACCCCAGGGCAAGTAATGGATATCTTAGTCACTGCAAATCGGCGCCGAAGCCACTACTACATGGCAGCGAGAGCGTCTGCTGGAGTTGTATACGATAACACTACCACAACTGCGATTATCCAATACAGTGGAAACTATACAATTCCATCAACGCCTAAATTTCCTAACCTTCCTAATTATACAGACATCGATGCTGTAACGAATTTTGTCCGTCGCATTAAGGCCTTGGCAAGCAAGGAGCATCCAATAGATGTCCCCAAAAAAGTTGATACAAGACTCTTTATAACTATTTCAGTGGGCACACTACCGTGTGCTACTAACGGTTCTTGTACTGGACCCAATGGCAATAAACTAGCAGGAAGCTTGAACAATGCTAGTTTTGAAAACCCAGAGATTGATGTATTGCAAGCTTACTACAAAAAAATTCATGGAATTTTCACCACAGATTTTCCAGACAAGCCACCTAATGTTTTCAACTTCACATCCGATGACTTGTCTGACGATGTTGTGACCCCTACAGCGGGGACTAAGGTGAAGGTTTTGAAGTACAATGCTAGTGTGGAGATAGTGTTCCAAGGGACTAACGTGCTAAGTGCTGCCGAAAATCATCCAATGCACTTGCATGGTTTTAGCTTCTATGTAGTTGGATCGGGTTTTGGGAATTTCAACATCACGAAGGACCCGAAAAATTTTAATTTGGTTGATCCACCTTTGCTAAACACAGTTGGGGTTCCTAAGAATGGATGGTCTGCCATTAGATTTAAAGCTGATAATCCAGGTATGTTTATTTACTTCAACGTTATTAAGATGGTCGCAATTAGAACCTTATGTATAGTCATTTGTGTACACTCTAACATGCCTTCACATGATGCCCGCATTTTTTGCCAAAATGGTTGTGATATAATGGTAAAAGTAGCATGGTTTTAGCTTCTATGTAGTTGGATCGGGTTTTGGGAATTTCAACATCACGAAGGACCCGAAAAATTTTAATTTGGTTGATCCACCTTTGCTAAACACAGTTGGGGTTCCTAAGAATGGATGGTCTGCCATTAGATTTAAAGCTGATAATCCAGGTATGTTTATTTACTTCAACGTTATTAAGATGGTCACAATTAGAACCGTTTGTATAGTCATTTGTGTACACTCTAACATGCCTTCACATGATGCCGCATTTTTTGCCAAAATGGTTTTGATATAATGGTAAAAGTAGTGGCATGAATTATGAAAATGATTTTGGGATGGTTTTAAAGCCTAGTTTGTCAATAATTTTGATTTTCTTTTCTTCGATGATTTTTTTTTTTATTTTTTAATTTTTTTTTTCAGCTGTTTTTTTTAAGGCACTCGTAAAGTAGAAGCCTCTTTTTTTTATTTTTTTTTTAAATGGAAGAAGTCCACTAAAGAAAAAACATGTTATTTTATGCACACACTTATTTATAATTCATCCAAAATCGAAAACATTCACTAAAAGAAAAGGTGAAAACAAAGTCCATGGTAAAAATATTTAAAAAAAGAAGAAAAAGAAAACCAACCATATTTAATTTAAATTTTGTAGGAGTTTGGTTCATGCACTGCCATTTAGAAAGACATTCAAGTTGGGGTATGGATACAGTATTGATTGTGCGGGATGGCCCCACTAGTGCAACAAGTATTCGGAAACCGCCTTCGTACTTGAATCCTTGTTAATTTTCTCACCAAATGGGATCGGAGGAACATCACACGCAATTTGGCTTTGCTTGTCTCTATTGTCAAGAGGATCAGTTTCTTTCTACTTGCTACTTTTGAGGGGAAAATAAGGGGCATAAATATCTTATATTTGTCATGATAAAATGTTGCAAAGCATTAGGGTTTTCTCTACTATTGTGCTTGAGACAAAAAAGAAAGAAAAAGAAGAAGAAGACTTGAAGAATATGTCCAGTCCATTAATTTCATGTGTGAGATAAGTTTCCATTATCTATGTTGTTTAATGCTTGGTATTGTGATTGTTGCTAAGGATGTTGTCTTCAAAGTATTTTTTGTTTTTGTTTTTGTTTTGGTGGGATTTAATCCCCTCATCGAATGTAATTTTCAAAATCAGTATAGTATGCTTCTTGTAATTTTTGTTGTGCTCTACTTACTGATAAAAATTAATTTTGTGCTCTTTTCATTTAATCTCAGCATAAAAACTAATGGTGATATTAGTAAGATAAATTGTATTTATTTGTGTAGTATCATTATGATACTAGTTGGTTGGAATTAAATATATAAAAATTGATAAAGATATATCATCAGATGATCATGCTAAGCTAGTGCAAGTGTAACTTGACTGATGTATGTTAGTTACATTGTATAGTTGTATAACAGAGTTTGTTAGAAAAGTGGTTAGTTTGTTAGTGTGTGGTTAGTTAGTTAGTATAGCTGCTTATTCTGTATAAATACTGATGTAATGTGTTAGTTCTAAATAAAGATGGATAGTTGATAAAATTCTTCATGATATCAGAGCATGATAAGCTCCAACGAGCAACAATGGCATCATCATCTACAACACCTTTAATTCCTTCAAATCTAAGTGTATTGCTCTCGAATCTCAGTTCACTGGTTACAGTGAAGTTAGATGGTACGAACTTCATTGTTTGGAAAGGACAAATGCAGAATATCCTTCGAGCAACAGATCTCTTAAAAATTGTTGATGGATTCTTTCCATGTCCTGATGAGAAAATCCAGAATTCATCTGGTGTTGAAGCTCCAAATCCTGAAGCAATTCAATGAAGGCTGTTAGATGCTCACCTGCTGAGTTGTGTTACAGCCACACTATCTCCTGCAATATTCACATCTGTGAATCATCTTCAAAACAGTGCTCAGGTTTGGAAATATCTTGATAAAAGATTTACATCATTGTCTCGTTCACATATTCAACTCAAAAATGGACTGAATTCAATCTCAAAGAAGAATGAATCTATGGAGGCCTATCGCCATCAAATTAAAAATCTTGTGGATCAATTAAGCCTTGTATCTTCTACTGTTGATGATGAGGATGTGGTGCTCATTACATTGAATGGACTTCCGAGCGAATATGATGCTATGAAGACAGCTATTTGCACTCGAGCAGAAAGTATTTCAATGGCCGATTTGTCTTCTCTACTCTGTACTGAGGCCTTACATATTGAAGCAAAGGCTAAACAACCATTTGATCTCACTGTTGCATATGCTACAGTCAAAGAACCTAATTCCTCAAGAGCTTTTCAAGCCTATCGCGGAAGAGGTGGTTCACGAAATGATTCTCGAGGATCTTTCAGAGGCAATCGATCTTAGTTTGGGAGATCAAACTATAGCGACCCCGGTCTTTTCTCTTCAAATTATTGTATCCGGACTTAGGTTCCGTGGATCCTGTCATTACTTTTCTCGAGGATCTTTCAGAGGCAATCGATCTTAGTTTGGGAGATCAAACTCTACTTCTTCTTTTCGTGGCAGATCTTCATATTTTTCAGGTCGCAGTAGGCCTAATTGTGGCTTAATCTATCAGATTTGTGAAAAATCCAATCATTCGGCTTTGGAATGTTGGCATCGGTTGGATACTCAATTTCAACCATTATTTCCATCATCTACCTATCAGCCATAGCCACACAACAGTTCTTCTGCTCCTCATACATCTAGAGCTTTTGTTGCATCTGCTACTGATGAGGCCTCTCAATGTTTAAGTCCTTGGTTTCTTGATTCAGTTGCATCTGATCACATAACTCATGATCTTCATCACCTACATTCCTATCAGCCATATTCTGGTCCAGAACAAGTTACCATTGGTAATGGCTCTTCTCTTCCCATTACTCATACTGGTCAAGGTATTTTACCTACTCCTCATCACTCTTTTCGGTTGAATAAGGTCTTGTGAGTGCCTAATATTTCTTCTAATCTCATTTATGTTCATCAACTAGCCAAAGATAACAATTGTTCTGTTATATTTGATCAGTTTTCTTTTTCTATTCAAGACAATCATTCCAAGGCCATTCTACATAAAGGCTATCAGGCTAATGGCCTGTATCATTTTCTTGTTCTGTCATCTCATTTCTCACCATCTGCTTCTCATCATGCTTTCCATAGTTCCACTGTTAATGCTACTGCATCTGCTAATACTTGGCACAAGAGATTAGGGCATCCTTCTGCTTTTAAATTTCATTTATTGCAGAAGCACTTGTTCTTAAATAATAATAATAAGACTCCCCTCTCTTGTATTGATTGTGCTATGTCAAATCTCACAAACTACCATTTAAACTGTCCAATTTTACTGTTTATCAACCTCTTGCTTTAATTCACACTAATGTTTGGGGACCCTTTTCTTGTGCTACCTTTGATTACAAATATTATGTTGTGTTTGTTGATGATTTTAGTCGTTTTACTTGGCTTTATCCCTTAACTTACAAAAGTGAGGTGTTTGTCAAATTTACTGAGTTTAAAATGTTTGTTGAAAAACAATTTGGCTATCCTTTTAAAGTTTTGAGATCTGATGGAGGTAGTGAATTTCAAAATCATTCTATGCATAACTTTATGACTACACATGGTACTCTTCATTAGTCTTCTTGTCCTCATACATCATCACAAAATGGTGTAGCAGAACGTAAGCATCTCCATATTACTGAAACTGTTATTGTTTTATTACATCAATCTACCTTACCACTTACTTACTGGTTTAATGTTGTAGCTGCTGCTACTTTTCGGATTAATAGGCTACCTAGTGTGGCTATTTCTAATTGTTCTCCTTTTGAGAAATTGTTTCATAAGCCACCTAACTATTCCTTGCTTAAAGTCTTTGGTTGTTTGTGTTTTCCATGGCTTCAGCCTTATTCATCTCATAAATTGTCTCATAAGTCTGCCCCTCATGTTTTTCTTGGTTATCATCCTGCATTTAAAGGTTATAGGTGTTTGAATCCTCTCACTGGACATATCACTCTTTCTAGGCATGTCAGATTTGAAGAAAATATTTTTCCCTTTGCCTTTTCTACATCTGTGTTTATTCCTTTTTCTTTACCTGTATTGCAGAATTTCTTTTGGTCCACTACTTCTCTCCCTCAGTCTCCCCTGCAACCCAGTTCTTCTACTTTAGTTCAGTCTGTTTCAGATCAATCTGCTTCAGCTCCTTCTACTTCAAGTCAACTTGCTTCAGCTTCTTCAACTCAACTTGTTCTAGCCCAGCTTGCTTCAATTCAGCCTTCACCAGCTCAGTCTATTTCTGCTCTGAATCAATTTGCTTCAGCTCTATCTGTTTCTGTTTCCCCTGCTCTTGCTGCAGCTTCTCCTGCTTCTGCTTCAGTCCAACCTACTGCTGCTGCAGCTTTTCTTACTGTTGTTTCAGACCAGTCTCTTTCTGTTCTGCCTCCTATACCACTTGTTCCTCCTACACCTATTACTTCTATTTCTATTCATTTTCATCTTCTTTCTCCTACCACCAATACTCATTCTATGCAAATCAAATCTAAAACTAAGCATCCTACTTTCACTGTTCAGACCACTGATGGGTCCACTAAGCCTCTTTCTACTTCATCTGCTCTTGCTTCTCCTATATGGTTTCAGGCTATGATGGAGGAATATTCTATTCCTCAACAACAAGGCACTTGGTCACTGGTTTCCCTTCCTCCTTCTAAACAAGCTATTGGATGCAAATAGGTTTTTAAGATAAAAAAGAATTCAGATGGTACTGTGGCTCGCCACAAAGCTCGACTTGCAGTTAAAGGTTTTCTTTAACAATATGGAATTGATTTTCAGGACACCTTCAGTCCTGTTGCTAAGCAACATACAATTCGAATTTTTCTTTGCTTGGCCTTGCATCATCATTGGCCCATTAAACAATTGGAGATCTCCAATGCATTCTTACATGGCAAGCTTGAAGAAGAGGTTTATATGGAACAACCCCCAGGCTTTGTTGATCCCTCTCATCCTTCTTTGGTTTGTAAGCTTCATAAAGCCCTCTATGGCTTGAAACAAGCTCCTCGAGCATGGTATTCCACTTTTTCCTCTTTTCTTCTTTCTCAAGGCTTTACTAATAGTAAGTGTGATACCTCTTTGTTTGTTCACAAAACCTCTTCCTCCCTTACCTTCATTTTGATATATATTGATGATATTCTTCTAACTGGCACCAATGTTGCCTAAATCCAAACTCTTTTATCCCATATGCATCTTGCCTTTTCCATGAAGGAATTAGGTGACCTTTCTTATTTCCTTGGCATCTCTGTCCAGTCTCACTGTAATGGTTTCTTTCTTAATCAATACAAATATGCCTCTGATCTGCTTTTCAAAGCTGGCATGATTGGGTGTAAACCTTGCTCTATACCTGTTTCTTCCAAGCCCTCCTTGACTGCTTCTAATTCTTTGCCTTGTCCTCATCCCTTTTTGTATCGAAGTATTGTGGATGGCCTTCAGTATCTTTACTATCACTAGACCTGAGCTGTCCTATGCAGTTAATCAAGCTTGTCAGTTCATGCATTCTTCAACAGTTGGCAATTTTTCTGTTGTCAAAAGAATTATGCGCTATATTAAAGGATCTTTAACTCATGGTCTTCTTTTCACTCCTAGCTCTTTTCAGCTTCATGCTTATATTGATTCCAATTGGGCTGGAGATCATATTGACAGACGCTCCACCTCCGGCTATTGTATCTTTTTGGGTGACAATCTCATATCTTGGTCTTCCAAGAAACAGCCCACTGTTTCAAGATCTTCTACTGAAGCTGAATATCGTTCGCGGGCTAATACCACTGCCGAACTCACTTGGCTTCAAATGTTGCTTCAAGATTTTTCCATCCCTCAGTCTTCTCTTCCAGTTGTCTGGTGTGATAGTCAATATGCCCTTGCTTTGGCTGCCAACCCTGTGTTTCATACCAGGTCTAAGCATATAGAAGTGGACTGCCACTTTGTGGGCGACAAGGTTCAAGCTCATAAGTTGCTTCTGTGTCATGTTCCTACTGCCTCACAGCTTGTTGATATTTTTACTAAACCATTGTCTACTTCTCGATTTTCTTTTCTCACTTCCAAACTCAATGTTGCCTCTGCTCCCTTGAGTTTGAGGGGGTCTGATAAAGATATATCATCAGATGATCATGCTAAGCTATCAGATGATCATGCTAAGCTAGTGCCAGTGTAACTTGAGTGATGTATGTTAGTTACATTATATAGTTGTAT